TTGTGTTTATCCTTCGGGATAGATACAAGATTTGAGATAGAGCGTTCTTTCATTTAAACTGTGAAAAATATGAGGTTAGTTTGATTTCATATTTTTCTAAACTTATATATATGTATGTAAATTAAACGTCCTTCCAAAGCGGGCGACGAGACTTCACTCCCAGCGACCGACAGCTTCTTACGGGCAACCACCCAACTTTGACCTTTCAACTTTATCCCCTTTTAGCGCCGACATGTATGTATTATTTATTCAACTAATTAATTTTTGTAATAACTCTATCCCCTCTAAAAAAAGTGGCTGGTTTCGCCCCTAACTTGATCTGAAATTGATTGACCCGGGAAATCAAATATGGGTTGATGAATGATGATAGAGACTTCTGCAAGGAAATTATGAAGAATGTTGGAGAATAAGTATCTTACAAAGAGAGTGAAGAATCGACTCCATATGAAGCATCAACTCTACAGATTTCAGATAAAACAATGGATTATTATTGATAAGCACTTCAATGATTTCACTAAGCTGTTGATAAATCTGTTAAATTTGAATGAGGTTGGAGATGAAAACAATGTGTTTCTTCTGTTGAATTCGCTCACAGATGAGTATGAAAACTTTATTATGACACTCATTCATGGAAAGCTCTTAAATTATAGTGAAGTGATTACGATATTGTTGAATCACGAGTTTCATTAAAGGGACAAGAAGCCTGCAATTATGGAGTCAACTGAGTCACTTACACTCCAACATGGCAAATCTGAAAAAACGAAGAATAATTCATCAACAAAAGTGGCAGAGGCAACAATTCTCAAAAGCGGGGCAAGTTTCGTGGGTGCAGTCTCAAAAAAAACCAGTGCGCTAACTGTTTAGAGAATAGTCATTGAAAGAAAGATTGTTCAAAACTAAAGAAGTGTTTACTGCATCTGGGGAGAAAGCCAATTTCATTATGGAAGGATGTGAAGAGGCAGATTCATGTGTATTTTTATCTGCACTTTCTCAGAGTTTGTTTACAAATAATTCGTGTTGGATTATAGATACAGGTGTTACCTATTACACTTGTCCCCATCAAGGATGGTTATGTACGTACAAGAAGTTGGATAGCGGTGCAGTGACTGTGGAAAATGATCAAGCTTGTCGCACTATTGATGTTCGGAGTATATTTATTAGGATGCATGATGATACTGTGAGTGAGTTGACTGATGTTAAATATGTTCTAAATATCATGAAGAATTTGTTGTCGGTCACTACAGGAAATTTGTGAATCAGCTACCAGTTAGCGTCATCATACAGTTTCACTTCCAAAAAATTAACATAGAAAAGTTGCGTCGAGTGGTTAACGCATCGCCGATGCTATAGCTTTGGATCAGCGTCGGCCATGGCCAAAGCTAAGGTCGACGGCAATGCCTTAAAATAGCCCTCCGCAAACCGCAGCTCCACTTCGCGCTCATTTCCTTCCTTCGATTTCGATCGTCGCCTCCAAGCTTCTCCGGTGATTTCGGATCCATTTCATTGCTTCAACTCATCTAAGGTGAGAAATCTTCTTCTACGCCTCCAAACTTTGGTTTAACATACGTTTTCATCTTTTTTATCCTTTCATAGATGTTAGATCCAAAAATACGTAAATTTTGCTCAAGTTTTTTTCTTATTCCATTGTTAGGTATGCAATGCATATGAATTTCATAGTTTTCCCTAAGTTTAAGTGTGAGATATGTAAATACATAAGAAATTTGTACTATGTATGAAAATTTTGGTGTGAGATGTAAATGAATAAGAAAATTGTAGTATTTATGCAAATATGAACTTTGGGTGTGAGATAGGTGAAGACATAAGAAATAGTGTGCTATGTAAATATGAAATTAAGGAGCAAGATATGTAAATGCATAAATAAATTGTGATATGTATGTAAATATGAAATTTATGTGTGAGAAATGTGAATGCATAAGAAAATTGTGGTATATGTAAATATGAAATTTAGGTGTGGAATATGTGAATGTATAAAAAATTGTGATATTTACGTAAACATGAAAATTTAGAAGTGAGAAATATAAATACATAAGAAATTTGTGTTACATATTTAGGGTTGAAAATTTAGGTGTGAGATACATAAGAAATTTGTGTTATGTATGTAAATAGGAAATTTAGGTGTGATGTCTAGGTGCACATTTCACCTAAATTTGTGTTATGTATGTATCAGAGAATTAGGATAGAGCATCACTTCACTGTTTGAGAGACACCACAACAAAACGGGGTGACGGAGAGGATGAAGCGGACTTTAGTGGTGAAAGTTCTGTGTATGTTACCAAATGTTGGGTTGAATAGAATCTATTGGGTCGAGGTCACAGAATACATCTGTCACTTGGCGAGCTGTCTGTCTTCTGCAGTTATTTGAAAGAAAACTCTTAAAGAAATGTGGTCAGGATATCCTGCTAGAGATTAAAAACACATGAGAGTGTTTGGATGTCCAGCTCATTACCACGTGCAGAATGATAAACTGGAACCACCAGCAAAGAAGACAATTTTCATTAGTTTCAGACACAGAGTCAAGTGCTTCAAGTTGTATGATCCGTCAGAAAGAAAGATTGTCATTAGCAGGGATGTTCCAATCGGCGAGGCAAGCTTGTTGAAAAATCAAAACTAAAAACAGGTGGAGAGTTCTACTCGGACCATCTATATATGCAGCAAAACTTGGAGTTTGTTGCAACTCCATTTGTTCCATAGAGCTCGTTCACTTTCACTAAGATATCTGATTCAGCTGCAACTCAAAAGATATTTGTTGATAATGCTCAGGAGGAGGTCGAGGAAAATGTTAAGGATGACATTTCTGCTCATTAATCTATTGCTAAGAGCAAGACCAGGTGCCAAAATGTCTAAAAACAAGTTTGGTTCAGGGATCACATTGTATTTGGGCTTTCAGCCATAGAGGCAAGAATTTATTGTTATTACAAAGAAGGATGAAGAGTCCATACTGTGATCATTGGAGAGCGACAATGGATGAAGAGATGTAGTTTCTTGGAAGGAATGGTACTTGAATGTTGGTGAAGCTCCTCCAAGAAGGAAAACCATCAAGTGCAAACGAGTATGCAAAAAAGAAAAGATCTCACGAAGCTGATGTTCAGTTCCAGACAAGACTAGTTACAAAAGGCTTTGCGCAATGAGAATGAATTGATTATGACAATATATTCTCCCAGTGATCAAGCATCCCTCCACCCGCATTCTCTTATCACTTTAGCATAATACGGTCTGATCTTGGAACAATTCAAAGTGAAGACTGCATTTCTACAAGGAAAATTGCAAAATGAGATCTATATGTTGCATCCGCCTAGATATGGAGCATCAAAAGACTTTGTTGGCAAACTAGACAAGTCTTTGTATGGGTTAAAATATTCGCCACGACATTGATATAAAAATTTGATCAGTTAATGAGTTGGTTTAAACTCGCATAATTTTTGGCATGGAGATTTTCAGAGAAAACTAAGCTTGAAAGATTTAATTTTCACAATGAGCAAATGTTCCAAGGTGCTGAATAAATTTGGGGTTGATGACTCGAGCAAGGCAGTGAGTTTACCCATTACATCTCACTTTCAGTTAAGTTCAAATAAGTGTTCTAAAGCTAATCAGGAGAAGAAATATATGCAATCGGTTCTTTATGCTAGTGCAGTGGGCAGTATGATGTATGTCATGTTTTGCACTAGACCAAACATTGCACAAGCAGTTGATGTTGTGAGCAGGTTCATGCATAATCAAGGAAGAGGTCGCTGGCAGACTGTGAAGATTATTCTCAGGTATCTGAAGGATACAGTTGACGTTAGCTTGGTGTTTAGAGACAGTCAACTATTTCAAATTTGTCTGTAGTTTACATTGACTAAGAATATGTAGGTGATATGAATAAGCGAAAATCTACGGTGGTTTATTTATTCACATTTGTGGGAGGTTCAATCAATTGGAGGTCATTTCTTCGGTCTGTGTTACTTTGTCTACTACGGAGATTGGGTAAATGACAGTCATAAAGGCGGTGAAGGAAGCAATATAGATGCGTGACCCATTGGATGACTTGAGGATTGATCAGAAGTCTCTGATGTTGTTGGTGACAGTCAAAATGCAATATTTTTTGCTACAAAACCATTTCATCATGCTCGTACCAAGTACGTTAATTTAAGATAGCTCTTTGTTCAGGACCTGATTAAAGAAAACAAGGTTATTTTGAAGAAGATAGATACGATGAATAATCCAACAGACATGCTCACAAAGATATTATAAGTTCAAAAGTTCACCTACTGCAAGAATTTAATGAACATCCGAGCTCATGACTAATTGTCCAGTCGAACATTTTGAAAAGTTACATGAGGCTTGATCCCTTCGAGAGGAGGGTACGTGGGCAATCATCTTAGTGCAGCTGATTGGAGTTGGAGCTCAGTTGGTCATCTCTCACTTATCTAGAAGTAAGAGATGAGGTAAGGAGTGTTGTATTTAATAGTTTTTATTTTAATTGAGTTGTTTTTTAATTTATTTTTTTATATGCCCTAGTCCTTCTCTATAAAAGAAACATAATGCTTATGAGAGACTAAAAGATGTATGGTGTTGGAAAGTGTTGGATTGTAACCACAAGTCGTCTTTCTTTCTCCCTATCTGGTGCCGGTGAAATCTAACTCCTCGTGGATATAGGCAAATCGATTTAACGCCACGTCAATCTTTTGTGTTCGATTTTTTTTTTTTGTGAATTTCTACGCTTTCACATTATTTATCTTTATTTAAAATAATTCATCCCATGCCTATCATATCACGCTACCTTCACTTAAACGTTAAATCAATCAAAAGCGCCAGCATCTAGAACCCTACAAAGTTTACTTAGGGCATCAATCATAACCCTAGAGACCAGGAAGCAAAAGTTAAGAAAAAGAAATATTGACTCATCAAAACATTGACTACCTCATTAAACCATCGATTGTTTTAACTATGATTGACAACAGCCATCCAAAAGTATGATCAAATGGAATAATGGAACACACCTGCAACGTTCTAGGTTCCTGAGCCTCACGAATAGCATGAACCAGGGCAGCAGTAGCAAGCGCCTCGATGCTGCGGTTGCGGAGACATGTGGCGGAGCAGCAATCACGGAAGAGCTGGAACGCATGATCAACAACATCATGGTCAAGTCCGAGTATAGAAGATACATCGATGATCTGAAGATAAGCGCGAAGATGATCCACGGACACCATCGGCCCGGCGGGATCCGCAACGGCCGAACCGGATGACGATGAGTCTAGGGCGCGTTCAAGCTCAGCAAGGTGACCATCAAAAGAGTAAGCAGAGCGCGCAAAGAGGGGTGAGTGCTCAAGAGACCAAGTGGAGAAAGCGGTGATGAAGCCGGTGGGGTGGAAGGGGTCCTCATCGTTGGAGCAGGACGGGGAGAAGGAGGCGAGGTCGGGAGTGACGAGAAGAAGTGGAGATTCGTGGGCTTGTAAATGAAAGAGATGATGTGTTTGAGTGTGCCGTTCTTCGATGACGCGGCCGCAGGCGGAGCACTCCGTCACGTGGCGGCCGGAGGAGGTGGTGGCGCAGCGGCCTTGGGTTCCGGGACAGTAGGGGCAGCGAACGAAGAACATCTTCGACGACACCGGAGCCAATTGAAACGGAGCGAGGTTTACCGGCGGTTGGGATGGCCGGATGGGATTTAGGCATTTATGCTATCGGTCAGCCCGGGTCGGGTCAGCACCTTATGACCCGATATAATATTTTTCAAATATTTAGGAATTTATGATTTTTCGGTTATATTCTAGAAATTAATAAGACCCTCATAGGAAAGAAAATTCTAAAGGATGACAGAAAATAGAAAGATGTCTAAGAGACTAGAAGATTCCACCATATTTCGAAGAATGCTAGAAGGGAAGAATAAATAAAAAAAAAACTCAAAGAGTAATCGAGAAAGTTCTAAGATTATATATGTATATAAGAAAGAAGTGTACAACTCTCTAGAACTTAAAAAAAATCTAATATATTCTAGAATGTTTCATTAGGTTTGGAGGGAACTATAAGTAGGAATCTCCCCCCTCATTTGTAATCATCTAAGCACTCAATCAAAGCTTTCAAGTATTCAAACATGAAGTGTTTCTTTCTCTATTCTCTGATTCTTTAGAGTGCTTTGAACTTTCTAGGTTGCTCTTGAATTTTCCTTGGAGCTTTCTCTTCTAGCATTTTCTGAAATATGATAGAATCTTTTAGAGTCCCTTGGATGTCTTTCTATTTTCAGATACTCTCTATAATTTTTCATCTCATGAGGGTCTTGTCACTTTCTAATTTATAGCGGAGCGTGACTTGTAGCTAGTTAATTTTGTGTCGATGTGATTCTTACTCCTTCTGATGGGTTGTTAATAATTATACATTTGACTTATAGTTCATTAAATTTTCTTGAGATTTATATTGATATTTTTTTATAAAAAATAGCTCTAAGGAGTTCTAAGATTAAAAAAGCTTCAAACTGACTTCATAATAGCCTTAAATTCTCATATTTTCTTTTAGTTATGTTGAAATATAATCTTATGTTAAATGAACATTTTATAAGCTAATTTTGGTTGGACAGCCATAATATTTTTCAATCATGTTAGGTTTTCATCATATATTTATTATAAATAAAAAATTATAAAAAAAATCTATCATCTTCCAAACTTTATGTGAATGTAGGGGAAGTTTTTTATAAATACATTAGAAATTTCTAGTTCACTGCTCATTAAATTTTAGAAATATATCTCAAGTTAATATAAAATATTTTTTTTGGCGGTCTCACCCCATACAATCCTATTTTTTTTCCATAAACATTAATTGAGAGAGGATATTATTGATTAATGATCGTTTAACTCTTCACATCTACGCTCAATTCTTTGAATGTGATTCACGAATTATCTCAAATTCAACGCTAATATACAAACAAAATTATAAATATTTTACATAAATAGAGCTTCTTTAAAAGCCAAATGATGGACACTAATCTCAATGTTTTATTTTCATTATTCAAGAGAGCATTTAATAGAAAATAATTTTATCTAAATAAAGAGATTGAGATTGACTTTCGGATAAAACTTGGGCCATTATTTATAAGAGCAATCTATAAATCATTTGCCTTTTAGTAAATAAGATTAAAGAAATCATGAAAGAAATTCATTTGAATTTTTAATGTTATTACAGGCACACAACAACAAGCTTTCTTTCCTCAAGCATAATATGATGTGCAAAAAAAAAAAAAAAAAAAACTATTTTTATAACTCAAACTTGTAAACGTTGCAATGATGTAAAAATTATGTAACATTGGGCTCAATAGATTCATGTCATCAAGACGTTGAATTTGACTATAAACTTGTGAGATTTGAAGGTCCTTTAATTTTTTAAAGTGTGTCCCAGAGCCACTTGATCATAATTTAAGTGTATTATTTAGTCTTATTTGGGGTTTGGTTGGGGCAGCTGAAACTTATTAAAAAATAATTGTGCAGTTGTTGAATAATAATCTGACGCTAAAAAAATTGCGGAAAGAATTACATTTTTTTTTAAGTCTAACATCAGCTAGAAAGTTGTCACCGCACATATCCAGGAGTGGTGGGAAACACATTTAGCTCTAATTTTTTGAAAAAAACAGTCAAAATACATTGTACCAGAACAAAAAAAAATTGTAGTGCGATGTCGCACCGCCACCGCACTACCGCCCCAAACAGACTCTTATACAAATATCATATAATTTTTTGTCACTTAATATTTATCCCAAAAAAATTCATTTGATTATGAACTCAAGTGTATGTAATTTTTTATTTGATTTTTGAACTTTTTAATCCAAGGTGATATGTGGCTCATCAAGAGGATTTTTGTTGGAGGGCTTTAACGAAGTATTGGCTCATCCATATCAATCTAAATTAAGAAAAAAATATATTATTAAAAAATAGTTGGCCAGGTTAGGAGTGCAAATGACCCGAATCGAGCTCGAGTCACCCTTAACTTGAGCTTTAGAATGATTAATTAATTGAGTTTGAGCTCTAGCTCGAGCTCGAGCTTCTCGAGCTTAATTTTAAGAGTTCGAGCTGGAGCACTAATACTTGTTTGTATGTATAAACAGAATAATTAAATGATAAATATAATAAATATTTATGTGATAATTAATGAGAAATCATTTAACATAAAATATAAAATAGCTTTTAAGATATTTTTTAATAGTTTTAAATAAATCATGAATTTTAAAATATTTTAAAAAATTTTTAAATTATTTTTTAAAGCTCACGAGCTCACTAGTCCAATCAGAACTGACTTGTTAGCTCATTGAGCTCGGTTGAGCCAGTCTAGCCCAAGCCACATCACAAGTCGAAAGGCTAGTTTATCAAATAAATTTGGATCGTTGGATCCTGATCAAGTGGCTGAAGGAACGGCTTCAAGTTATTTCATATACAAAGGCGTTCCTTGGCTATTTTTCTGCGGGGAGGTCAGATGCGTGAACGCCAAGGTATCCTCACGTGGTGATATATTTTATGGTGTGACTAATGTACCCCCAATCACTAAATTTCTAATGCCACTTCCAATTTACCTATAATTATAAAATTAATTGCATTAGATGATTAATTATAAAGTATTTAATAAGAAGAAATATAATCAAAATTCCATAATTTAAAAACATGGATTTTAATGTTTTGATTAAGAAAATTAAATTTATTTATTTTTAGAAATATACTTGATTGACAACCAATAAATTTTCATCATCTGACACGAATTTCGAGGTATCACACGAATCTCGATACGATATTTTAAACGCGAAACAATTCAATCTTCATAAAAATACATCCAGAGTTCTGATTTCAACAAACTTATAGTCAAACTGACTGGCTTGATGAGACAAACCTAATGATATGAAAACTAACTCAATCTGTGTCAAATCAAACCCAGATCAAGTCATTGAACCACGAATAAATGATTTCCGGACACATTTGAAAGATCAAAGAGTTGTCGAATATGATAAGTTTATACTCGAATTGAGACAAGAAGAATCCAACGAGTCTAAGATCACTCAATTTTGACAACAATATGACACTTAAATGTCCACTAAACGTCATATGTCAAGAGAAGCTCTTCGGATCGTCTGATCAAAATGATTCATATTACTGCATTAATTGCACATATGACATTATAAATAGAGTCTCATCCCTCTCATGAGGGGGGCTAAAGTATGGGGAGAGAACCTGAGACATTGAGGAGAAACTATAGTTCAACATCACTGTCGATCGTCGTCGAACACCGCCGACCTCCGTCGT